AGAGCCCCGGCTCTCATGCACATCACTAGATCGGGATGCACTCAGATGAATGTTTACCTTCATGCATGAAAGTATGAAAACTGGCTTTACATCCACTTTAATCCAGCCATATATGGATCAAAATTCAGTTAGTTCAGCAGGGACTGGGTGCATTTTGAGCCATTTACGAGCAGGCTGGTTGTATAGGAGTCCATCTCCAAATCAACGTCTGTACAATCAGCCTGTTGGGTTTTTTTTTTTTTTTTGTTTTTGTTTTTGCCCGATCAGTAGCCTGCAACACTGATAATTTTATTGTGATGGCTGTGAACTCTCCCTGCTGTCAGAATATAATTCTGTAGCTCCTGAATGAATTCCCCCATCTACATTGAATATGTTGATGGGGGAATCGATGCATTTTTTTTTTCATTCAACCAGCGAAAATAATTTTGGTAAATTAGGGAAAATACCCCCCCCAAATGGGACACAAAATGTTGTCTATGCACACACTTTAATGAACCTTTATTATTTCTCAGGAATTGTGTCTTCAGTGGTGTAAAGTCTCACAATACACAGTTCAGGGTGTGATTGGCAACATTTTGCGAACTGAACATTTTTGTGTTCGTATTGAAGCCCAAGTTTAGCTGAAAATAAACACAACAAATCAGCACAGGGGACATAACTTGCAGTTAGTATGATCTGTCCCTTGTGTTGACTCTTCTGCTTTTCAGTATAAATCTTCCTCTGTCCCTGCCACCATCATATTCCAGTGCGGCAGGTGTTAATACAGCTAAGGGCCTGTCAGGGACTCGCAGCAAGAGCTGTAGTATAGTTTCTATGAATGACACTGGACCTCTGAATGGGAGACAGACAGATGATTGATGGCGCTACCCCCTCCATTCAGAGATCCTGTCCTTCATAGAAGCTGTAGTGAATGGTGGATCTGGCAGGAAAGGATGGGCATAGTCAAGTTCTCTTGATGAGCGTGCCTCATTGCCTCTTGGCTATGTTAACCCCGCCGCACCACAAGTTTGCCTTGGTGGGGTGGGGGCATCAGAGGAGGAAGATTTCTATTGTAAGGCTAAGCATCAACGCAAGCGACATATAGTACTAACAGTAAGTTACGGTTGCAAGAAAAAGTATTTGAACCCCTTGGGATTACGTGGAGTTTTAGATGAATGGGCATAAAATGTGCTCTGAACATCATCTAAGTGACAACAATAGAAGAACACAGTCTGCTGAACATAATACTACACAAACATTAGATGTTGCCATGGTTTAATTGCACATAACATGTAAACATTCACAGTGCAGGGAGGAATAAGTATGTGAGGGCCCTAGCTTAATGACTTCTCCCAGAGCTAATTGGAGCCAGGAGTGAGCCAACCTTGACTCCAATCAGTGTGATGATATTGGATGTGTTGCTGACAGCTGTCCTGCCCTTAAAAAACACACACCTGTTTTGGGTTTATGGTTTCAAGAAGCACTGTCTGATGTCCATGCCTCGCAGAAAAGAGCTCTCAGAAGACCTACGATCAAGAATTGTTGACTTGCATGAAGCTGGAAAGGCTTTACAAAAGTATCTCCAAAAGCCTTGATGTTCATGTTTCCACAGTAAGACAGACTGTCTACAAATGGAGAAAGTTTAGCACTGTTGCTACTCTCCCTAGGCGTGGTCGTCCTGTAAAAATGACTGCAAGAGAACAGCGCAGAATGCTGCATGAGGTAAAGAAGAATCCCAGAGTGTCAGCTAAAGACCTACAGAAATCTCTGGCACATGCTAACATTTTTGTTGACACATCTACAATAAGGAAAACATGAAACAAGAATGGTGTACATGGGAGGACACCACGGAGGAAGCCATTGCTGTCCAAAAAGAATATTGCAGCACGTTTGAAGTTTGCAAAAGAGCACCTGGATGTTCCACAGCACTACTGGCAAAATATACTGTGGACAGATGAAACCAAGATGGAGTTGTTTGGGAAGAACACACAACACTGTGTGTGGAGAAAAAAAGGCACAGCACACCAACATCAAAACCTCATCCCCACTGTGAAACATGGCAGAGGGAGCATCATCATGGTTTGGGGCTGCTTTGCTGCCTCAGGGCCTGGACGGATTGTTGTCATTGATGGGAAAATGAATTCCAGATTTTATCAAGACATTTTGCAGGAAAACGTACGACCATCTGTGCGCCAACTGAAGCTCCGCAGAGGATGGTGATGCAACAGGACAATGACCCAAAGCATACAAGTAATTCAACAAAACAGTGGCTGCAACAGCACAGAATACGCCTTTTGGAGTGTCCCAGTCAGAGTCCTGACCTCAACCCGATTGAAATGCTGTGGCATGACCTTAAGAGAGCGATTCGCACCAGACATCCCAAGAATATTGCTACACTGAAACAGTTTTGTGAAGAGGAGTGGTCCAAAATGACTCCAGATCGTTGTGCAGGTCTGAACTGCAACTACAGGAAACGTTTTGGTTGGTTGAGGTTATTGCTGCCAAAGGAGGGTCAACCAGTTATTAAGTCCAAAGGTTCACATACTTTTTCCTCCCTGCACTGTGAATGTTTACATGTTATGTGCAATTAAACCATGGCAACATCTAATGTTTGTGTAGTATTATGTTCAGCAGACTGTGTTCTTCTATTGTTGTGACTTAGATGACTTTCAGAGCACATTTTATGCCCAATTCATGCAAAACTCCACGTAATCCCAAGGGGTTCACATACTTTTTCTTGCAACTGTATGTTTTTATTTTGAGCTAAACTTGGGATTTTTCATTCCCCCTCCCAACACAGTATATCGTTTACATGGTCACCAAGAACTAAAGTAGAAAATCGAAACCTTTCGAGTTGTCGCCAGAGCAAAAGGATAATGAAAACCCTCTTATGAAGACACTTGTTCCTGTGACGACTTGTATACAGTTTGCACTTGTTGGAAGTACATTTTCAGTCAAAATTGAAAACTAAACCTTGACCTGAATACAGAGAACATAGCCTACATAGTTGTATTTATCCAGATATTGTTGTACTTAAAGTCAAAAGCCATAGTTTTTTTTGTATTTTTGTACCAGTCAGGTTTTTATCACAGCGTGCATCCACCTTCGAAGTAATCTCTCAATTTATTTTGGTGACATCAGTCACTAAGACTGAAAGTAAGGAGGAAATCCAACATTTTGAGCTATCCCCAGAACAGGAATAAAGGACAATACTTTCAACTGAGACTTTTGTTCTATTGACCGCTCTTTAGGAAGGGTACTATATGAAGAAATTCCCTCTGTAAAGTGATGGGGAATCTTGCCAGTTTTTATTGATAAGTTTTTGGTTTTTTTTGTTTTGGTTTTTTTCTGAATGGTTAATTTTCACTGTGCGTAGTGCACTCAAAAAACATCCACCATATGTTTAAATTATACTGTCACAAACAAGTTGCGCTGTAAATTGAGTAACTAATAAAATAAATACTCGGATAAATGTGATTTATATACAATGTATAGATTGGGAAGTGTGTGGCTAACAGACCCCAGAGCTGGTGGGACACTTGTGTTCTCATTAAGGAGTTGAGCTAGACATCCCCCCCCCCCCCCCCCCCCCCCCCCCCAACCGTGCATGGGAAGAACACTGCTGCACAGTGAAAATAAGGTGTACTGAAATACCCAGAACTGAAGTTTTGATACATAAAAGCACCTAAAGCTTAGCATATGACCATTTAGGAAAACAAGCTAACAGAGCCCAAGGTGTAGGGAAGACTGAATTCTTAGGCTGACATCTTCACAAGGCAAACGCTTAATTGGTGAGTGCTCTTGTGGCAAGATAAAGGATAAACTGTGGTGGCATTGGAATATTTTATCAATATCCAATTACACCAGCAGGATGTATGCAGTGTCATGCCAAATATATAATTTGGGGTCTAGGGATTCGGTAAGAGGCTGGTTACATTGGTGGTCAATATACTTCTCACAATGGATTGAAGTTGATGGACACTTTTCACAGGAAAAACATAAATTATTTGGACTTTTAATTATATGTCACTTTGGGATATATCGTTCATTTGCATATTTATTTTATTAATCACTTATTTACAATGTAACTTGTTTGTGACGGTAGATTTTACCATTCCCTATTTTATCTAAATTTTAAAAAATGATTTGGCTTTAGATCTACTTTAAGAAATCAACTCTGCTCCTATCCTGATACTGTATATAAAAGAAACTAAGAAGTACTACATTGTATTGCTTGGATTCACACTTGCCTGGAAAATTTAGTGTTACTAAACCCATGACACTGCATTCACTATATCTTGTCTCCCACAGTACACAACATAGAAATGCAATTATTTTAGTAAATATAAACTGCTAAATACCTTTTCTTATCAGCAGTACATAGCTTCTTGTGACTATCAGTGTCACGCTGAGCACTAGTTAGAGCTTGTAGGAGGGGGTTTTCATTCTGCTCTGTCCTATGAGGCTGCATAACCCCGGACCCTCTGTCTGGACAGTGCTGATCGGTTCTTTGCTGATCACATGCACCCTCCCAAAGGGGAAAAAAACTCTAGCAATACACACTAAATGAGCATGTGCAGATGACTCCTGGAGCTCTGTACTATCAGCAGATGGATGGGGGACAGTATATGGGGAGGATCAGACAGACAGGATGAAATGGCTATTTTACACGATGTGGAGGATTAACCCCTTAGGTTCCACAGTGAGTATAACAAGCACAATTGACTGCATATACAGACTGATTTTACTGTTGTGGGTTCAGTAGCACTTTAAATGTACTTGGTGATGCAGGAAGTAGAGGAAAAAAGTAAGGTATGCAGCACAGGCCCCAGGAAGTTCTATGGAGCGGGGTGCTTATTCTGTGTGAGTTTGCACTGAGCTTGGATTATGGTAAATTGAATGAATGAGGACTATAACACATCTGCTGTTTTACTGGATATCATTTTTAGCTAGCTGAATTACTTCTTGCTTTTATTTGTTTGGAATTGCTATTTATTTATTGCGGTTGTTTTATTGCAGGAATGGGTCAGGAAGCTGGTAAGACTGCCTGGCCTAAACCTTCTGGGGGATATCAGACTCTCACAGGACGGAGATATGGAAGAAGACACGCATATATTAGTTTCCGACCCTCTCTAGAGAGTCCTAACAGATCTTCAGCTCGGCAGAAGAGGGAAGGTGAAGGCCTGGAATTGGGCAGTGTGCAGAAGGAAACCAATTTAAGTGTGTGATATGTCATTCTTATGAATGTAGCATATTTATTGCAACTGTGAACATGGGAACAGAAACTGCTGCATTTGCCAATTTTAAAAATATTTTCCATTTTCAATACAATATGGGAAAAAGTACCTCTACTTGGAAGTAATGGAAAGGTGTACAGTGAGTGTGTCCTTGTCGGCTCCTTTAAGGGGGCTAGAGGGCTTGCGGTACATCTGTTACCCCGAGAACCAAGTGACTGTATGAATGGGGTCAGAGGAGTTCATTCTCTGTTGTTTTCAAAGGCAGTGGGTCAGAAAGGAGAGCCCAAGCTGCTAAACATTATTTTCATGGTAGAAGAGTTCCCTTGTTTAAAAGTGGAAAAAAATATTTTCTAAACGTTTTTACTGGGCTTATTGTTCAGGTATGAAGTCTAGTGAAATTGAGCATAAATTTACATGTTATGTCCTACAACATAATTTCTTAGGTCTTCATATGTCAAAAGATAAAAAGTTGTATTTTAGGTGTCACTTGACTCCTTTTTGAAAGCATTTTTTACTTAAGGATGGGGAAATATCATTGTAGGCCTTAAAAAAATAAAAATTAGGAAGACTTTATAGATTATTTATTATTATACAGGATTTATATAGCGCCAACAGTTTGCTCAGTGTTTTACAATATAACGGGAGACAATACAGCAACAATACAGTTCAATACAAGAGGGATAGGAGGGCCCTGCTCCTTGGAGCTTACAATCTAAGAGGGAGGGGCTAGTGGTACAAAGGGTAGTAACTAAGGGGGATGGACTGGTAGGAGGAGTAGAAGATTCCATTATTATCTGAGGGCAGGATAGGCTTCCCTGAAGAGAGAGGTTTTCAGGGCTCTCCTAAAAGGGAGCAGAGTAGGCGATAGTCTGATAAATTGAGGTAGTTCCAGAGGATGGGGGAAGCTCTGGAGATCAATATAATGGCTAGAAATAAGCGCAACAAGTGTAGAATTAAATAACAAACAAGAAATGCCTAAATGCATTGGGGAAGATATACAAAAACTTGTGTACACAGAATCTGTTACAGCTGTGCATAGGAACCAATCACCAGATTTTAGTACTTGCTAATTTTGGTGCAGTACTAATTTAGTTGTGTGTTTTTTGAGTTGGTAGGGGGACAATGGGAAGTGGTGTGTTTGTTGTTCTTTATATTCAACTATAGGAAGCCATTGTGGCTTATGCAGGCCATACATTGTGTTCTGCGGTACTGTGTTCTGCCAGCAGGGAGTCTGGGTGGATCGACTTGGGTACAGTCTGTCTGTCCAGGTAAGGATCAGTCTGTCCAGGTAAGGATCAAATTTCGGCTGGATGCTGTTAAACCAGCCAGATCCATCTGTGTCCAGTTTTAGTTTCAGTGTTTTTCTAGATTTAAAAAAAAAAAAAAGCCCCCTGCAAAAGATAAGTAATACATATTTATTAATATCAGTTTTACAAAGTATCAGTTCATGCAATTTTTGTTCTCCTTGACATTTGTGCATTATTAGCAGTATACTCGTGTGTAAAAATGGTAGTTTAAAGTAAAATATTTACTTTGTTTTACAATTTTAAGTAATAAATCATAGCAGTTATGATGATTTTCAGTAGAGCAAGGGCCTCCATGGGCTGTAACAGTGAAGAAGGTATGATGAATTGTACTTTAACAAGCAGAAGTACCTCATAAACCCATGAGTAGAAACACACTTGTAGAGAACAAGTATGGCTGGTTTGAAATCTTCACAGTAGTCTTCAATACCATGCCACCTTCCTGCTCGTCGTGATCAAGCAAACTGTGTTAGTGCTCTTCAGGGAGAAAGCTTATAAGCATTAATCTAATTCATGTTTTGTATGCGGTTTAAAATGAAAAAAATATTTTTATTGTAAAATAATTTCTTCCCTTCCTTTTTTTTTTTTTTTTCACCAAATTTTAATAAATTAAGTCTAGTAGCTTAGGCAGCCTAACGCCCCGATGAGCACACACTGAGAATGTTGGGCGAATGATCGTCCATGTGTGTGGTGGTTTTTTTTTTTTTTTTTTTTTGTTTTTTCTGTGTTTTTGCATGCTAGTCTCGTATCGAAAGTGAAGAGGTTGCCAACGTTTCGAAAACTCTTGCACAACAGAAAATTCAGAAGTGATGTAATGTATTTGTATTGTATTTTTGTATGATTTAAATGAAAATCGTACTATCTGGTGTCATACGAGAAACATTTTCCTGCTTGTCCCTTCAAATAATTTCAGATGAAAGATATGTACGAACAATCAGATTATCGTACGATCTCTTCGAAAGTGGTATTTTCCGTAAGATTTTCTGTTCCTGTGTACTAGGTTTAGACTGTCTTTCAGTGTTCATTACCCGTTATCAGGCAGACTGCGTTATCATGATTTGTTGTTTTGGTTGACAAGTCACCTGTCCCTGATATCTTTTAAGTGTGAACATTAACTCTGACTCCAAACGTGTATGTGTGCTTGTCTATCAAGAAAAAAATTTTTTTTTTTCTTCTATTGCATGGGTAAGAGTTCAATTTCCAGGTTTTGTTATATCTGTCTTTGACTTTATTGGGGAGAGTCTCTTCATTTTCCATACATGAAATGTGGTTGTCCCTGGGTTAGGAAGGTCCTTTTTGTCAGACGTTTTAGCACTTCCTTACTGCCTAAAATGTGTTTTGACTTTTTTTGATGTGTGATTGAAGCGATTTTATATTACTTCTTATCTTGAGTAGCAGTAAGGAGAAATCACCCCAGTAGGGACCCTGATGGCTCTAAAGACTTGACAGAGACTCTAACCATTTCCCTCTCTCTCATAAACAAAACAAAGTTTTGCTTCAAGTTGAGCTTTATGCTTTTTTGCTGAGCAAATGTGGAGTCTGCCAGTGCTAAAACTCTTCTCAGAATTGTAGATTCCCTGGGAGTCCTGCTAATTCAGTGGCTTCAGTAGTTTAGTGACCCAAAACTAAGCATGCGTATTTGTAGATGACTTCAATCTGCCTGTTTGTTCCATGCCTGTTTTCAGTCAGTAGCTCAAAATATCGAAGGCAATCTGTATTCTCAAAAGGAGGTCTTTTTTAACCCATTTTGTTTGTTCATTAGCTTAAATTTCCTAGAAAACCCAGGTTAGGGAAGAGCAACCTTGACATTCCAGGTGTAGTGAAACAGATCCCATAATGCTCCTGCTTGTGGCGGTCATGCCTGTGACTGCTGGAGACCTGCAGTGCCTCACATGACTTGTAGCGCCACAACAACTAGAGTAACATGAAGAGGGAAACGGTGAGCATCAATCACATTTCACTTTTCAGCAACTTCATGCAGTTATACAGTTGATTGTTGTTGGTTTATTTTGAATATAAACTCTCGTGTCTAAAGGTGAAACACTTAGGCCAGCTTCAGAACTATGCATGCAGATTGTAATGCATGTTTAAGCACGTTGGTCACATATCATCATGTTTTTTTGGGGTGCTACCATTCATTTTAATGGGCTTCCAATCATTTAGGCAGTAAACAAATCTCTTGAACCATTTAACACCCAATACGTTTGGAACCACACGTTGCTGTGTGTTGAGGGGAAAAGAGTTTGGTATGTTGATGCTCATTAACTGCCTGTACAGGGTACAGGTATCACAACATGTGGCAGCTCGTAAGACCGCAAGCTTTCCGGTGTGTTAATATGTGCACATCATTTGTAAAAGGGCCTTTTTGGTGTACCTATACTAAACAAAAAAAAAACTGCAGTCTCCCAAAACCTGTGTATACTGTTCTGTTGATTCTAAATGTGGGAAAAGTCAAGCTGGGCCTCACTTACACCTCCATCTACTAGATAGCAGGGGCGGAACTAAAGGCGTGGGCATCAGCTCGATTTTAAAGCAGAAGTACAGGACCTCTACACATAGAAAGTCAGAAAGTGGCTAAGTTTAACAAGGTTCACCTTGTGGACATATCTTTTCTTTACAACTGTCAGTTTTACAGAGCACCAGGAGTACAGCTGTTCCTATACTCCGGGCACTTTAACAGGAGTAATGCTGCTTTCTCACACAGCATCAACTCTGCCTGCCCTGCCCCTCCCCTCCACTGTCTATTCACAGAAGACTTTGGGGTTAATTTACTAAAGGCGAATAGACTGTGCAGTTGCACTGTGCAGGAGCATTTGCTCCAGAGCTTAGTAAATGAGGTAAAGATTTTCTTTGCAAAGAATACCCAATCACATGCAAGGAAAATACACAGCTCAAAATAATTAAAGGAACTATTTAATCGGAGTATATCATCGTCAATTATACTCCTGGAATATTGATCTGGCCAGTTAAGTAGCAGGGGGGGTTGTTAATCGGTGTCAGTTACTTTTGGTGTTAAATTAACAGATGCACTATATGGGCAACAATGAGACGACCCCCAAAACAGGAATGGTTTTATAAGTAGAGGCCACACTGACATTTTTTTTTCCCCCTACTCATCTTTTCCGACTGTTTTTCACTAGTTTTGCATTTGGCTAGGGTCAGTGTCCTACCTGGTAGCATGAGGTGATACCTGGACTGTACAGAGATTGCACAGGCAATTCCAGGAGACAGGCCATTACTCTAGGAGAGTTGGACAGGGCTGTAGAAGGTCTTTAATCCATCAGCAGGACCAGTATTTTCTACTTTGTGCAAAGAGGAGCAGAATGAGCACTGCCAGAGCCCTACAAAATGACCTCCAGCAGGCCACTGGTGTGAATGTCTGTGACCAAACAATCAGAAACAGACTTCATGAGGGTGGCCTGAGGGCCCGACTTCCTCTAGTGGACCTTTGCTTACTACCTGGTACCATGGCGCTCAATTGGCATTTGCCATTGAACACCAGAATTGGCAGGTCCGCCACTGGCGCCCTGTGCTTTTCACAGATGAGAGCAGATTCAATCTGAGCACGTGACAGATGTGAAAGGGTCTGGAAGACGTTATGTTATCTGTAACATCGTTCAGCATGACTGTTTTGGGGGTGGGTCAGTGATTGTCTGGGGAGGCATATCCATGGAGGGACACACAGACCTCTACAGGCTTGACAATGGCACCCTGACCGCCATTGGATATTGGGATGAAATCCTTTGACCCATTGTCAGACCCTACAATGGTGCAGTGGGTCCCGGGTTCCTCCTGGTACATGACAATGTCCGGCCTCGTGGCGAGAGTATGCAGTCAGTTCCTGGTGGATGAAGGAATTTATGCCATTGACTGGCCCCCACACTTTCCTGATCTAAATCCAATAGAACACCTCTGGAATATCATGTTTCAGTCCATCTGACGCGGCCAGGTTGCACCTCAGACTGTCCAGGAGCTCCGTGATGTCCTGGTCCAGATCTGGGAGGAAATACCCCAAGACACCATCCGTTGTCTCATTAGGAGCATGTCCCGACATTGTCAGGCATGCATACAAGCATATGGGGCCATCCAAACTACTGCATACCATTCTGAGTTGCTGCAATGAAATTTCAGCAAAATGGACTAGCCTGCTGCATCATTTTTTCACTTTGTTTTTCGGGGTGCCTTTGAACATAGTCCTCTGTAGGTTGATAATTTTTTATTTCCATCAAATGATGGGGCATCCTTACATTCTTAACACATTACCCATTCCATATCTGTATTGATATTGAGCATGATATTGCTCCCCATTAAGATCTGATGTGTTTTCAAAGTGATCCTTTTGAGGAGGGGGTGATGTGGTTTTTTTTTTTTTTTTTTTTTTTTTGCGTGTGTGTGTGTGTATATATATATATATATGTAGGTATTTATATATAATAGAGTTTTTGTAATGTTTTGGCATGGGAGTGGAAGGAATTCTGATTGGGAACAAAGTTAGTTAGCAGACCTTGCATTATTGGTGCAAGATTTGCTTCAACTTTAGTCCTACATCTAAACATGCCAAACAAAGCAGATCATATTTACATTTCTTGTATTCCTATTTATAACATTATTGCTTTTCACTGTGTTGAGCAGATTTTCCCAGTTAAATGTATAAATATTTATAATTTTTTTTTTTTTTTTATTGTTTAGCTTCCAGTGAAAGCCATGATTCATCACTTTCCAGCATGAGTAGCGCTTTGTCCACTGATTTGCAAGAAGGGAGAAAAACACTCAATACTAATAATGGTTTGTTTTACTGACTCTGAGGAGCATGCTTTGCCCCCCTTTTCAATGTTAGAACATGCTAAGGGCTGTCAGAAATTAAATAACAGTGACTGCAAGGAAAGCTCTAAAACGTTCTTGCATGCTCCAGTGGAGCACCTACACCACCCTCATCAAAATGGTGTCTGTTTTGTTACTATTGACTCTTTTGAGCCAGACAGCAGTGATGGAGAAGAAAATGTTAGTCTTTATGAAGATGTTTCTTTAAAAACTGAGGAAGGTGGAAATCCGCATCTAATCAGCAATACGATATGTGAACTCCAAAAGGATTCTGCCAATGAAATGCTTTCACAGTTATCCACCATAAATCGCACTTGTGCACAGGACAGCTTATCTCAGGGGAGTGTTGCCTCATTATCCAATCATTCAACCCTAGACCTATACTCAGCACCATGGAGTTTATCTGCTAGCTCTGTATCAGAGGATGAAGCTATGGGTGTTCGAAGTGTAGAACTTTATGAATCCCAGCAAAACAAAAGTAAAACTGACTTAATGGGAAAATATAGCCTAGGAATTAGTAACGAAAACAATGCAGGAGGTGCTAAAACTGACCCAACAAATGAACCAGTTGTCCGACCTAAAATTAGAAAAACATGTCCCACAGTTTCCGGAAAGGACCCATTGAAAACTGATGAATATGGAAAAGAAGCCAAAAGCTCTAGAAGAGAAAAGCGGGAACCGCATGCCAATGTACAAAAATCTAGCAAAGCTGAAAATGTCAACACTGCAAAGGAACCTGGCTCAGTATGTGTTGAGGGAGCACAAAAGAAAATAAAGGGAGCTAACAAGGATACAAGAACTCCAATAGACAGTAAGCCATTAGTGGATGACACCTTTTGGGATGATTTTGAAGTCTATGGCTTGAAGATGATGGACTCGGCAAAAGAAGAAGACAGGTAGGATGCCGTGTGGTTGGTTGTGTTTTTTTTTTTTTTTTGTTTTTTTTTTTTTTTAAATTGAGAAATAGATGACATTCTTGCTTCTAGCTGGCCAGGTCAGTACGCTGTACTGACGTGGCATTCCTCTTTTTTTTTTTTCGTTTTAAGGTCATGGCACCACCCTCACCCATCCTGTGGTGCTGCTTCCCCTCCTGCTGGCTTCAGCTACATCAGGGGAGCCTCAGAGAACATATAATGCGCCAAATATATGTTTCCCCCCCCCCCCCCATGGTTCTCCAACATGAAATGCACCCCCCCCCCCCCTTATCCTCGCAGCAATGCTGCAGCTACTGCTGGGGTGGGAGGTCGGTATCAGGACTGAGAGCAGAGGGCTGGTAAATATGTTATGTTTACCAACCCCTTCTTGAATGAACACAGTGAGCAACTGATACTGATCACACCTATGTTCACTGATTGCTAACATAGTAGTAACGTTTAGTGAATTTAGTGTAAAATTATTTTAGTGTACTTTTACTGAAAATGGTGATTTGATAAAACATTTGCATAAAAATTGTGGGGTCTAAAACATCAGCAGCAATTTTTTTTTTTTTTTTTTTTTTTTTTTAACTACGGATCATGTGCTTTTAGAAAATGTATGGTTTAAGGGGGTCTTTTACAAAATCAGCTGTAAATGAAAAATTATACATCCATAGTTTTAAAATAAATTGCTTATTTACAGTTTTGAGTATCTTTGATTTTCAGCACTTCGCAAAAAAGGTGCAATTTTAAGATTTTAAAAATATTTTTTAACTCAATACAATTTTATATTTAGTAGGGATTTATACAATAATTGTGTATTTTTTTTTTTTTTGCTGTGTTTGTGTCCACTAATAATGATTTTAGTGTATGTTTATCAAATGTATTGTTTTGATTATCACAAGGGCTAAAAAAAATCAGTAGCAACTTAAATTCTACTGGTCCTATGCTTTCTGAAAATGTATGGTTTTGGGTGTCTTTAACAAACTCTGAAATCTGTAAGTAAAAAATTTTTTTTTAAAAGTTTTTTTCAAAAGTGGTCTGGCCACCTGATTTTTAAATGTGGAGTGCAGGGCCTGGTAGCGAAAGGGTTAAAGTGCACCTGTGTTTTGCCCATTAAAAGCTGTGGCTTCTCTAAATTACCTGCCTCCACAGTTTCCTATATTTACCCTGCCTCTGCTCCCTTGCTGCTGTATTCTCCCAAAAAAAAGTAAAACCAAGTGTTGGCATCAAATTGATCTACTCCAAGGCTGTACAGCTTTTGGGCTTTGGGTAGCATGTGGCTCATCAGACCACCTTTTACCCCCCACATGGTCCTAGCTAGGTCCCAACCTGGAAGTTTGAACACTTTCCTGTTATGTGTATGGACTGTAAATTGTTCCACAGCATCCAGCACCTTCCCTTTTAACTATGCCAGCATTTTGGGCAGTGTAACATTTTTTGTTCGACAGAGATAGTATAAAACACAAAGTATATCTGGAATACAAATGCAGTGTTACTAAACTAAATGTGCCTTTGTATTGGGATACATGTAACTAAGGCTTATAATGTTATAAAAAATAAATCTGAGGTGTGGTGCAACATCATAAAACCAAATCCAATAGAAAAAAAAATGAAAATTCATTGGTACACCACTATTCCAAAGTGACACAAAAAATACCAATTTAAAAATCAATAAACCTAGCTCCTGAAGGAAGTTCACCACCACCACCACCTTCATCTTGGTTCAACATTATTATTGTGGTGTTTTGTGAGTGCAGCTGTGGGAGGGGTGTGTGGTGGTTTTTTTTTTTTTTTTTTTTCGTTTGGTTTGATGCTGAGCACCAATAGCAGTTTTTTACCATTTTAGTACAACGTCTATCTGCACTTTTTATTGCAGTGCAGTTATTCATTTTTTAAAGCCCCCCCCCCCAGCTTCCCTATTCTTATACTTGCCTGTTCCCAGTCCAGCAAAATCTCCGTTATGCGACCTCCTCGTTGCCACACAGCTACTTGGCAGAAACTTCCCCATTTAACCCATGCATGTATGCTGCAATCTTAATTAAAACCTATGAATTAATTGTATTTCACTTGATACAAAGTTTCCACAGACTTGAAAGGCGATTTTGTAGAGTACATTACACAAGCCCAGTGGAAATTATTCTGACAAGCAACTGTGGGAAGCTGAATATATTGGTGACAGGGAGGGGGGGGGGCATTCGAAAGCAAGTATAACTGTACTCCTCTACTGCAAATAAAAAAAAAAAAAAAAAAAAAAAAAAAAAATTAAAGCTAAACTTTAACCATAACAAGTTGATGGTAAAATGTTCTGTAGCAAGGAACATATTTTCCACATTTAGCGCCCCCAACTTGCAGGGTCTGCTGCAGAGGCTGCCCACCACCACATGCACCAGTCCATACAATCCAGCCCCATGTGACCTCCACCTGATGGAGCGGGTGGTGGGGACCCAGTGGCCTGTGTGCTGCCCCGTGTGACCTCCACCTGACGGAGCGGGTGGATTGCCCGTACTCCCTACAGGAGCTTGATGCAGTGGAGGTGTTCTGGTGGAGGATGGAGCTGCCCGGGTTGTATGTGTACATGCTTTGTGTGTGTGTGTGTGTGTGTGTGTGTGTGTGTGTGTGTGTGTGTGTGTATATACACACACGGGGGGAACTAGACCTGGCTTGTATACAGGGGGGAGGATCAAACCCAGGGCATATATAGAGGCGGGAGGACGGGTGTGTGTGTGTGTGTGTGTGTGTATATGTATATGTGTAGAGAGAGAGGAACCAGATCCAGTGTTTATAGAGGAGGAGAGAACCAGAATATACAGGGGGGCAGGGCTTGACAAATCCCAGGTCGCTATGGCAACCAGAAATCACGTCCTGGCACCTGGCCTTCCACCAGCCCACTCACTGCCAGCACCAGGCGCGAGCAACTCCCATTGTCCGAAGCCCCAGACATGCAGCTTACCCACAGCAGAGCCAAAGTTACTCTTCTCCACACCGACACCCTCCGCCCCCCTCCCCCAGCAGACTCACCGTTGCCGTGCAGAAAGGCTCCCCTCTCCCTTGACACCAACCAATCCGTGCGTAGTGTGGTCCACCCCTCCTCCTTTCCGCCAGACCCCACACATGGCGCTGGAGGCGAGCAGAGTCCAACCCACACAGAATGCCACACACACATCAATGTGCAAATTCAAGATCTACCATCTCCGTCATCGAAAATAAAGCCGTTGGTCAAATTAAAGAAATGGCTTTTAACTTCGCCACTTTTTAACCCACGAATGGTGGAAAGTATCTTCCCTCCCCACCCCCACGCCATCTGCATTTTGTCTTACCCATTCCCCCAAAGTATCTTGCAAGATGGAACATGCCCTAGCTCCTAACCTCACAGAACGGCAAAGAGACCAGATCATACAAATTACCTTTAAGACTTCTTCTTAAAGATCCAAGAGACAGGCTACAAAAATTTAACTAGATGGTACAGGGTCCCCAAAACCCTACATAAACTGTTCCCACAGCTCCCCATTATGCTAGAGATGCCAGAGGAAGACAGGCTCCATATGCCACGTCTTCTAGTCCTGTAAAGACCTCAAAGACTTCTGGTCCCGGGTTAAATATTGGATTTTTAAATTTACCAACATTCAGATATTGGATGACGCTGCCGCCTTTCTGTCACAACCCCAAGGTCATTGAAGTACTACAAGCACTCCCTATTGTTATATCTGCTTAATGCTGCCAATTCTACTATTTTGGAAGCAACCAGATCCCCTCACATTAGGACATGGTTCACCAACAAACTTAAGCTGATGGAAGAACTTATGGCAACTGTGCACCACAGGGAGGAACCAGGTTGCAAAACTTGGTTGTACTGGACCACATTTACGTGTACAAGCAAATATCAGAATATTTTAGGCTCACAGCTATCACACTGTTTAACCTCCCCCCCCTTAGCAGCAGCAACTGTACTGTTGGACCCCCAGGATTACAGCGATTAGCTGTCTTCTGGGAGTTGTAGAAGCCTTGCAGTTGTAAATAAGAGCGAAGTCCATGATGTATCTTGGACTTACCTCATGGTATGCCTTCACTTTTTTTAAAAATGAGCTGAATTCCTGAAATTCATCTTTGTCAAAAAACAAAAGTTTTGCCTTTTTAGAGTAGAGATGGTTTAGAACACCTATTAGGTTTCTACTGAAGTCTGTGATCCTGTTACGGAGATCCACCCTCTCTCTTTGTCCTGTTTTTATCATTATCATCCAAAGTGAAAGTAAAGAGAACTCCAAATTTTGTGTTGTCCCCACAAAAGTAATAGAGGTGAAGTGTTCCAATCGGGACACTAGTTCTGGCAACTTGGTGGTCCCCAAGGAATTGCCTTAATTTGCGGGGATTATCTGATGCTTCCTGTTTTGGCTACGGGACATAAAGTGAAGGTAAATCTCCCAATGGGACACAGATGGCAAAAAATATTCTAACCCTTCTTTACTCTATTCAAAATTGGGGGGGGGGGGGGGCGCTGTCAGCAGATCAGCCTCTAGTGACTCACTGACATTATTTTGCCTGTGTCCAAATTGGACAATTGAATATAATCATAAATAAAATGTTTATTTTTAATTTTTCGTTGAGAATCCTTTACTGGCAATGACTGCGTGAAGTCTGGAACCCACAGACATTACCAAAGACTGGGTTTCCGCCTTTCTGATGCTTTGCCAGGCTCTGACTACAGCTGTCTTCAGTTCTTTGTTTGAGGGTCTTTCTGTCCTTAGTTTTGCCTTCAGCAAGTGGAATGAATGCTCAATTGGGTTGAGATCAGGTGATTGACTCGGCCGTTGCAGAATATTCCACTTTTTTTTCTTTCAAAAGCATACCTGAAATTAAACCTGAGAGTGTGCACTTTCAGCCCATATCCATTATAGAACTATAGCTTGAATATGTTTTGGTAAATACCTGAAAAAACTAAAATTGTGCCTGTGTCCAAATATATATGGACTTAACTGTGTGTATATGTAATAATTTTATATTTTTCACACCAACAAAAGCTTGAATTTCTCTTATTTGTTTTTTGTCTCTTTTTTGGGCATATGTAGCAATGTCCAGTGTCCTAAACTAGTTAGAAGATAATGCTGGATTTCAACAAAATAAACACACAATCCCCTACTGTATGTGAATGCAGCATCAATCCAATGCTGCATCTGTTCCCCAGCTCTACACTGAGAACTGTGCAATTGAACACCGCTGATCGCAGTTTTTCCGAGCAAGGAGCGTTTACTGTCAGTCACCGCTCTGTGCTCTACCTCTCCAGCACTCATTGGATCACCAAGCTATAGTGAGTGAAAGCAGCTGGCTCAGGCTCTGTGTCGCACTGAGAAGCTGAGCTAGCTGCTGGTCAGGCATCTTGGCAGATCCTGACATTGTCAGGATCCCTGCAGAGCATTGACCTGCTCTGTGACGTCAAAAAAAAAAAAAAATGTTACACCGAGGTAAATGGATGCCCAACATGTTCTGATTTAGAATTGCGCACGCATGTGGAATGTCGCCAAGCTACGGTACTTAAAATCTCCACAGCTGACGCTTTAAAAATTTCTACAGGTTACCAGTGTAAAGTTACAGAGGAGGTCTAGTGCTACAATCATTGCTCTTTCTCTGACGTTCATGGCGATACCTCGTGTGGTTTGAACACAGCTTACATATGGGCGTGGCCTTTGTATGCGTTCACCACGAAGCATGAGTGGGGGAGGGGGGCGCTTTAAACTTTTTTTTTTTTTTTTTTTTTTTTTTTTTTTTTTTTTATAAGCAATATATAAGAAATAAGCAATGACAGATCCTCTTTATGGAGAGATGTGGGGTCAATAAGATTAACCCCTTAGGTTCCACAGTGGGTATAACAAGCATGCTTTACTGCATATACAGGCTGATTTTGTCTGTGTGCGTCTGTCGTGGGTTTAGTAACACTGTAAAGCAGTATTAATTTTGACATTTACATTTTTATTAATGCCTTTTGCAGCTCTGAATGCAGTGATGGAGAATGGTCTACCTGTTTACCCTCCTATTTCTCTGGTGATAAAGATCATTCTTCTAGTGATGAAAGCTGGGAGACTTTGCCTGGAAAAGAAGAGCATGATGTACAGAGTAATAGCAGCAGCTTGGAAGAGGAGAATTCTGACTTTTGCTTCCAGGTTGAGTAAGTGCTTTTTGTTTTGCTTTTTAGTTTTTACTGCTACGTATGCAAATATGTATTTGTAATAGTCTAGTCATAATTTCCCAATATTTTTAGTTGTGGCTTTTATTATTAAGCCGTGTGTGTTGTTGTTTTTTTTTTTTTTTTTTTTGTTTTTTTTTTGCGGTTGTCAACTGGTTCTTTGCCCACTCTGGACATACAAAGAGGGTTTGTTGTTTACAGATATGACATGACACTTTTTACTTCATTTTCTTTAATTTTTCTGCCCTGTTCTTCCACTGGAATACCCAAAAAATTCAACAATACACTGGCTTGGAGCTTGCACGGTTCAGGCCTGGATGTTGAATTTTCAAAGCAGACTGGAGAGTCAACCACTTTCCCATGCCTGGGGAATGCCAAGAATTCTGTCAGGGCTTTGGCAAGCAAACATTTATGGGGGTGAGGATGATTGTGGCAGTTAAATTCCTTGGTATGCCTGCTCATTTTTCCTTTTTTTTATGTTATATATATTAGAATTGTGCATTATGCCTAAAGAAATGGTGGGCACACAACAAAATAAGGTTTGTTTATAAAAACGTTTTGCAATGCTGATAATCTGGTGAAACTACTTTCACATTCATTCTGTGCAAATTAAGCAGATGTTTATTTGAGGTTTTGTATAAAATAACTGGTGTTCCTGTTGGTCCCTCTGCTTTCCTGTTAAAAACTGACTACTCTAGGCATGAGAGCACAGCAAGGTCAGTTCTCTAGCTGTGCCAGAACTCGGTCTGCTCTCCAATGATCAGACTTGTCCTGACACTGGTAAATTTATATATATATATATATATATATATATATATATATATATATATATATGCATGCATGTTTTGGCTTTCATTTATATTGAATAGGTTGTTTTTACAGGATGAGGGGGTTTACAATCACAGTAAATTAATTGCTAAAGTATGTTACAAATTAACAGAACATATGTTTTTAATTTAACTGTTGCTTAACTAGCTATCTTTCAGCTACGTATATAGTCATATGTAGGCTATGTAGTGCTGGCTCCTAGGTTTTTAAGCTGGCTGGGTGAGATTTGTCCAGGCCTGGAATCAGCAAATCTGTTTTATAATGGTCCCATTGTTATAAAAAAGAATGAATCTCAAAAATGGAAACAATGGAAGGATATTATATCTATTTATTTATGCTTTGTTGGGGGTGAGAGTAGACATATTTTGCTAGCATATATCTGGCTTGTAAGAATTGGACTGTTGTGGTGTTTTTTTGTTTTTGTTTTTTTCTCCCCCTTTTCCAGACATTCGGACTTATAAAGATCTGCAGATTGTATTAATTGATAAATTGAGCTCCAGCACACCCATGTTTTCCATACCTAGGACACATGTTGTATGCAAAAACTAGCTTTCTACAAGTTACTTGTTTCCATACTTCCTACATACTTCATATTATTTGGGTACTCAATAGTTCACTGAGGTGCCTGAATTGTACAGTGTCCTTCAGGGGATTTTTCAAAAGAGGTGAGAGGTGCAGTTGCTGAATTCTTTTGAAATGGTCAGATTATTCATTGTATGCAGTGACAGCATACACGTAACCTCATGCATTTCTGTGTTTATCTAGCAGGTTAGAAGTTGTTGTTTAACACAATGACCCCCCCCCCCCCAACTAAAACATTTAAATTCCAAATTAGGGGAAAATGAAAAATATAATGTATTAAAATCACTTTGAATGTAAAAGAGGGAAGCATTTGAAAATATGCTTTTTTATTTTGCTAAGGTGCATTGAAAAATTTCCTGTAATGAACAACATGACTGATTATGTTTGCCTTTTTATTATTGTTGCAAAGAAAAAGTTAATAACTTGACTATTATCTAGGTGAGTTTGACTGATTGCTTAGTGGCAATATTGAAAAATATATTTGTTTTCGAATGAGTAAATCTTTTGAGAGTGGTTTTATTCCAGAATGTTCCTGTAGTAGATGTGCTGTTATTACATTGATGTGATTCTGCACTGCAGTGTCTCCAAACTGCAATCAGCAAAGCTCTTTCAGAACTAATGCAGGCCATAGACGTGGGGAAAATCGGCCGTTTTTTTTTTGTTTTTTTTGTTTTTTTTTAAATAGTAAATCGGTCGTTCAGACGGCCGACGTTGCCACTAATTAAAAAAAAAAAAAAAAAAAGTCGGCGGGTTTTAGTCCCGTCTACGGCCGTCAATTAATATAATAGCAGTGTCCCTGCATAGAGACCCGCTATTATTTTTGACAGAAGAAATAGATTATGCAGAAGAAGAAGAAGAGAAACATTTGTATCTATTTGTACTTGAATAGAAACATCTGTATCCAAAATACATACAAATAGATACAATGTTGTAACTTTTTTCGTCTCCGTCTTCTGCAAAATCTTCTTCTGCAAAATCTATTTCATCTTCTCCTCTTTTCTTCTGTTCTTCGTCTTGATATTCTATTTCTTCTTCTCCTGCAAAATCTATTTCTTCTATTACTACTTTTTCTTAGTCAATTTATTGTCAAATCGGCCAGAAGAACAGCCGATTTGACCATAAATTACCGCGAAAATCGGCCGATCTAACAAATCGTCCCAGGATTTTCCAGCATGGCCGATTTTTTTTTCAAAATCTCTTAATTTTTTTTTTTTTTTTTTTAAAGGCGGCAGTCAGGTATTTCCCCAAGAATAGTAGTATACATGTGGTTCATTGCTCCATCACTCTGCCCCACAAATTAGTTTAAAGCAGTAGTAAACTTAAAAAAAAAAAAAAAAAAAGATTTCCACCTGCAAGGTAAAGGCATAATGTGCTAGTATACATTGCATACTTAAAAAGAGGAGTTTGCAAGTGTACCACTGGGCAATGCATAGGTTTAAAGAGAGCTCTAAAAGGAGTTGGGCTTGATAACATTGAACAGTGTTTTTTTTTTTTTTTTTTTTTTTTTTATCCAAATTGCCCAAAAAAACAGCAAATATGCTTTGAGAGTCTGCATTCCCTTCATAATCCTTTTTGTTTGTAGCTCTGACAAATGTTCTGCATGAATGCTTTTGTACACACACACAGTTCGAATCAGCAAAGAGGGTGGTACAAGTCTGTGTAGATAAAAGAAAGCTCTTTCAAATATCCAGATCCTGTCAATATTCACAAATCAATCCAGTAAACAATATAAGGAATAATCTTGAAATATGTATAAACGTTTTGTTACAGATTTTATTTGGTTACCATCAAATGTAATAAATTAAATCTAAAAGTGATTTGTAAAGTATAATCTATTTTTCTGTTTGTTTAAAATAATAAACATGTCATACTTGCCATCTCTGTGTAATGGTTTTGCACAGACCAGCCCAGATCCTCCTTTTCCTAGGTCCCCCGCCGGCGCTTATGTCCCCTGCCTCTTGCCGAGTGCCCACCATATCAAGCCGCTTACTCTGGGGGCACTCCTGCGTGCTTGTTCTTGAACTGGCTCTGAGTGTCTATAGGACACACAGAGCCTGGTTTGATCCCTCCCCCTGATCCCTCCTCACTGACTGTGATTGACAGCAGTGGGAGCCCGCTGCTGTGTCTCAGCCAAAGAGTAGAGGGAGACTGCACATCACTGGATCGAGATGGGGCTTAGGTAAGTATTTAGGGGGCTGCAGGGGGTGCTGCTGCTAGTAGAAGGTTTTTTTTACCTTTTTACTGTAGATAATGCATTAAGATTAAAGAAAAAAAAAAACCTTGAGCCTTTACAATTACTTTAACATTTAACCATTTCAGTTTTGGACCAAAGCAATTTCTACTTTTCTGCTACAGGCTTTAATAACTTTGTCATTACATTTAAAGTGGAACTTCATTCTCTCAGTCAACATTGACTATTTTTAATCCTTATGCTGCTAGCATTAGTAAATGGATAGAAAGGTATATCATATTTACTTGTTTTAAATTGTTTTTTTTTTTTTTTTTTTTTTTAATTTTTTAAGCTACTTTCTGGTTTCCATGCCTGGGCAAATGATATCATGCAACCCAGGAGGGCAAGATGGGTTTTTCTAAGCTAAGCACCCTCTCCTGCCTGCATAGCTGAGCTAAGGGCAGATGGATTCCAGGAAGTAAATGCTACATGAATCCTCTGCCTTTACTCAAGATGGCCTTGGCCAGAAATGCTAGGGGGGGTTTTTTTTCAAAGTGATTTCTCAGCAAAATAAAGCATGGAGACATGGATGGATAAGGGCATTTTTTGCTTTGAATATTAAAAATGAATTAGCGGTTTTTGATTTGTGGTGCTCAGATGCAGTGCAGTTCCTCTTAAGTTAAAGCAATACATAAATTGGGCAAAGAAGGCTTTAGTCCAGATATATTTTGCAAAAATTATAATTTTTTTTTTTTATACGCATTTCAAAGACAAAAAAGTAACAACTAATATAAGCACTTTTTTTCCTACATTGAAAAAGTAGTGTTGCTGTAGATATGAAAAGTATACAATTCTATACAATTTTTCCTGTTTTAAAAAGACATTAAATTCTTATTCCTATACAAAACAATTACAAATACTATAAAGGAGAAGTAGGGCCCAAAGCTCTTTTAGCCCTACTTCTCCTTTAAATCACTGGAGTGCACTTAGGTCTGTACTTCTGTGACCTATATTCAGACGTCAGTGGACAAGTCTGCTGATGCCACTCAGTCGGTCCACACTCTGGAGTGATCCCGACTTGGAGGTGGGCGACAAATGCAGCATCAGACCAATGCTCCATTTACCTAGGTGAACATGTATGTTTGTTTTTTTTTTTAAACCCTGCACTTCTCTTTAATATTTTATGTTCTATTACATGAGTCTCAAAACGTTCTAAGCAAAAGGCCAGTTTACTGTCCTTCAGGCTTTTGGAGGGCCACACTATGGCCAGTGGGAGTAGAAAATGTCCTGGCACCAATGCCTCATCATTGATTTGTAATAGGGAGGAATAGTGCATCATTGTTTATCAGTAGGAAGAATAGTGTCCCATTGATGGTGTCAGTAGGGGAATGGTGCCCTATCCTTGGTGTCAGTTGGTGGAATAATGCCCCAAGGGTCAGGTAAAAGCAAGCACAGGGGCCACAGTTTGGAGATTACTGGTCTATTACAATACATACTTCTAGTACTTTTTTTCAATAAAAAGATTCCTGCCTCTGGATTCGCAGGTGGTTGCAAACCGTTTAGGTTGGGAAGCCTTTACAAAGCAATAATAGGCTGACAGGAGCTGCAGTTGCTCACCTGTATCTGCACATTGGCTGTCGCCTACTGTTAAGGACAGATGATTAGCCCTGGACACAGATCAATTTGGGACCCGATCAGTTCCTAACCTCGGGCAACCGCTAGATGTGCTGTCTGCCCTTCATTGCTTTGTACAGGTTTCCCAGTTGCAGCTGTTTGCAGGCATCTGTGATTCCAACTGCAGGAATTTGTTGACTGCCTTAATTGTAAGTGTGAATGAGGCCTAAAGCTGGCCATACACGTGTAGATTTTCAGATGAGAATATTCGTAAGAAAAGTCGTACAAAAATTCTTTGAACATTCGACGAATGGACAGATGTTGTTCGAAAATTGTCTTTTTTGCTTTTAACATTTGACTTTAAAGCTAATGTAATTTCTGAACGATAACCACATACACTGGTTGAAAATTTGTTTGATCGATTTCTTTCTGCCCCCTTCAAATTTTCACGGTCATAAAAAATTAACTTTGCTTTGACCCCACTAACGATTAGAAAATCAAACGAAAATTCCCGACCGGAAATCCTATACGTGTATGGCCAGCTTAAGACTGGGGTGTTCTGTCTATATATTGCAGAGGTCTATTTATTTTGATTTCACAAATACTTTAGTCTCATGCGACTACATCCAGTAACACCAATGTTTCAATTCACAATACATTTTTTTATTTCCTGCTATAGGGAACAAACCTCTTTAGAAGATGGTGAAATTCCTTGGTTACAGTATCATGAGGACATAGAGAGCAGCACAGATGAAGAAAATGAAGCTGGAAACCATTATTTACCACCAGGATTTTTTTATTTTAGATGGCAATAATAATTTAGAAGACGATTCAAGTATGAGCGAAGACTTAGAAGTTGAATGGAGGTATAGCTTTACTATTTCCCTTCTGATTACTTTAATTATAAGCTTCTGGGTGGCTGTCTAACCTAACCTTTTTGTAGTTTTATATCAGACTGGTGTATAAATTATATATTGCGGACACTAGAAGCTTAGTGTATCTATAGGCATACCTAATTAGCTGTGACACACTTTGTTGAGCACCCCTACAGTTACTACATGTGCTCTGTAAAATATAAGGACATAAATACTTCAGTTCCTCAGCTGTTGTCCTGCTGCTGCTCTCACAACTAAGATGCTTTTTCAGGCCATACAAAGTATAAATTGAAGTGTAATCTCTGAAAACTGTAAATCTGTAAAAAGGTATCTTCAGTCAACAATAAGTGCTGACAAATTTCTCAGTATATGCCATACTTTTATTTAATTTTTTTTTTTTTTTTTGCGCTAGATCAAAATTCAAAGTGTCCATGTATCTTGAGCAACTTCTGATCATATATAATGTTGCATAGAATTTGTGAATAAGGAGTTGCTATTTTGTGTGTGTAAGTCAGACAATATGTGTTCAAAAGAATGTCCATATTACTGTATGCATCATCACTTCCATATATTATAAGCTAGTTATAAGTGTAACCATATAGTGTACTGACTTCATACCATACCCTTAGAGAAATTATGTACACTTGGTATAAGTATTGCATATCCAAAAGCATGTAGCAGTATTGATCACAGCCTGTTACCTAGATTATGGGTTGATCTTAATCTTTACAATCCTGCTCTCTTCGTCCTCTTGCAGTTTGTTTGTGTGTGTGTGTGTGTGTTGTGATAGCTGTGTGCCTGATATTAACTACTTGCCCTCCTGAGGATTTACCCCCCTCTCTGACAAGGCCATTTTTTTTTTTTTTGTGTTACGGCACTGCATTACTCTAACTGACAATTGCGCGATCAGGCAACGCTGCACCCAAATAAAATTTACGTCCTCCCCCCCAAATTGAGCTTTCTTTCCATGGTATTTGATCGCCTGTGCGGTTTTTTTTTTTTTTTTTTTTTTTCTCTGTAAAAAGACAGTCAAAAATATAGTTTTTTTTTTTTTTTTTTTTATCTCAAAATTGCCGTTTTGCTATTTAAACATGTCCAGTAAAAAATCAAATTTCGTCATAAATTTACACCAAAATGTATTCTAGTGCATGTCATTGCTAAGAAACAAAAACCTAATACGTGTAAATTGGTTTACGTGAAAGCTATAGCATTTACAAATGGCGGTATAGATACTGGATTTTTAAATGATAATTTTTACTAGTAATGGCAGCGATCAGCGACTTTATAGCGGGACTGTGGCAGGCATTCTGACACTGGGGGGAAACTGACTTGGTGTCACTGACATCCCCAGTGACACCAATACAGTGATCAGTGCTAAAAAATAGCACTGACACTGTACTAATGGCACTGGGCAGGAAGAGTTTAACATGAGAGGTGATCAAAGGATTAACTCTATGCTGGGTATGTTTTTACTAGGGGGACGTGTGTATGTGCTTCACTGTAATCACATTGCTTTGCATGGATGTGCTGTGCACAGCCATCCAAAGGAGTGTGCACCAGCTCACAGGGAGGAGAACTGTTTTGTTTACAAACTGTTCTCCTCCCTGTCGGAGATGCTCGGCAATCACCGGGCACCGGCGAGTAATCACCGACTGGGACCTGGTGATTGACAGCACACGCCTCTATTCAGAAATGCAAAATCACGTATATATGTACATGATTTTGCGCACCCGTGCCACCCTTTAGCAGTATATCTGCTATAGGGTGGTCGGGCAGCTGTTAACTCCTGAATGATTTAGTTGTCACATTCTATCTACACCCAACACAGTATAAAACAAGACCACCTAATGGGGGGACACATGCCAGGGGGATGCATGTTGGACTGATTCCAATAAAGTGGCGTTCACTAATTAAGTGGCACTTCCACTCTTGCACGCGGTGCCACTTAATACAGCAGGCTACACTATATTGCCAGAATTATTGGGACAACCCTTCAAATCATTGGATTCAGGTTTATAAAATCAAGCACCTAGGCATGCAGACTGCTTCTACAAACATTTGTGAAAAAATGGGTCGCTCTCAGAAGCTCAGTAAATTCAACCCTGGTAGTGTGTTAAGTTGCCACCTGTGCAATAGATCCATCCATGAAATTTCCTTGCTACTAAATATTCCAGGGTCAATGGTTAGTGGTATTGTAACAAAGTGGAAGCAGCTGGGAACAGCACCTCAGCCACGAAGTGGTAGACCATGTAAAATGACAGAGAGGGGTCAGCGAATGATGAAGCGCACAGTTTGCATAAGTCACTAACTGTCTTCAGAGTCAATAGCCAAAGACCTCCGAACTTCATGGGGCCTTCAGATTAGCACAACAGGGCGTAGAGAGCTTCGTGGAATGTGTTTCCATGGCCGAGCAGCTGTAATCCAAGCCTTTTCTCACCAAGTGCAATGCATAGTTTTGGATGCAGTGGTGTAAGGCATGCTGTAACTGGTCTCTAGGGCAGTGGAGACTTGTTTTCTGGAGTGACAAATCATGCTTCTCTGTCTGACAATCTGATGGAAGTGTATGGGTATGGTGGTTGCCAGGAGAATGGTACTTGCCTGACTGCATTGTGCCAAGTATAAAGTTTGGTGGAGGGGAGGATTATGATGTAGGGTTGTCTCCCAGAGGTTGGGCTTGGCCCTTAGTTCCAGTGAAGGGAACTCTTAAGGTGTCAGCATACAAAGACATTTTGGACAATTTTTCATCATCCCAAATATGTGAGAACAGTTTGGGGAAGGCCCCTTCCTGTTCCAACATGACTGCGCACCAGAGCACAAAGCAAGGTCCATGAAGATATGGATGAGCGGGTTTGGGGTGGAGGAACCTAAATGTCCTGCAGTGTCCTGACCTCAACCTGATAAAACACCTTTGGGATGAACTAGAGCAGAGACCGGGAGCCAGACCTTCTTATCTGACATCAGTGCCTCACCTCACGAATGTGCTTCTGGAAGAATGGTCAAACATCCCAATAGACACACTCCTAAACCTTGTGGACAGCCTTCCCAGAAGAGTTGAACCTGTTTTAGCTGCAAAGGGTGGGCCGACTCAATATTGACCCCTATAGACGAAGACTGGGATGCTATTAAAGTTCATGTGCGTGTAAAAGCAGGCGTCTCAATACTTTTGGCAATATAGTGTACTTTGCAAAACACCAGACTACAGGTGACCTCGTTTTCCCATCCATCTCTCCTTCCCCTGTAACATTCGCTCTTCCTCTCCTTTTCACAGCTGTATCCTCTCTCCCTAAACTGTTTCCTTCACCCCTCTTCTCCACCCCACAATCTGTATATATCACTTCTGTCCTATTATTTCATTTTTACTGCACTCATCATCTTGTCCTAATTCTAATCTCACTTGCTAATAAACCCCCCCCCCAATTTTGAGGCGGACTCTTTCCTGAAAAAATTGGGACTACCTCCTCTGCCGGAAGACAATTCCTCATTACCGCCTTCTCCATCTTGTCCCTCCGCTACCCCCAACAAGATTTGGACACCAGTTCGTTGGCGCCGGAAGCGGCCTTCACGTACTCCACAACGTTCCAGCAACGTGCCTGCATGATGCTTCTCTGCGGTGTTCTTCTGTGGGCTCTTCTGGGTTGTATCCTTACCTCTTTCCCTCCCCCCCCCTTCCTTTTTCTTTTTTTCCTGTGCTGGGTCCCCCATATGTCATACTTTTCTGGCCGGATTTGCCGACTGATATGTTCAGGTTGTCCTGTTGCCCCCGATCCCGTCCTGACAATTGTGTGGACAACTTGGGTTTTGATGTTTCTCCCAAGCCCATATCCTTACGGATATCTATGTTCTTTATTGCAATGTTTTTGGTTTGTCTATTAGTTCTCTGTTTTGTCTCATCGATGGTATCTCATTTATCTTTTCTGCTGGTACATGTGCCATACTTATTGTCATTTTGTGATGGCTTTACGACTTCTGTCATATAATGTCAAAGGCCTTAACTCTGTTCAGAAGTGGTGGATGGCTTTGAAGGAATTCCGATCCTCAGGAGCAGATATTTTTGTCCAGGAGACTCATTTTATGTCAGCAAGCTCCTTTCATTTTGCCTCAAGGTTTTTTTTTTTTCTCAGTCCTATTCGGCCTTTGACCCATCTGGTAAGGCTGGAGTGGCAATACTGATCTGGACACATTGCTCCCTTTGGGTCGTCTCCTCCAAGATCGATCATCATGGTCGCTTCATTCTCCTAGAATGTATGCTTGGTGACACTCCCCTTATTTTTGCTGAATCTCTATGCCCTGAATTCAGGTCCATTACAATTCCTTACACACAAACTCTCGCCAAATTGGGCTTCTTTTCCACCCCACACATGATTATAGGGGGTGACTTTAATTTAACCCTTTCACCTCACAAGGATAGGAAGGTCCTCTTCAAGTCCACTCCTTCGAAGCGGCAATGCTCCGCCTCAAAATCCTTTCTTAAATTGATCAGGGAGCATCGTCTCTTTGATGCCTGGTGGATTCGACATCCTACCCACAAACAGTTCACCTTCTACTCCACACCTCACCGCTGCTACACCCGCTTAGATCATTTCTTCATTTCAGCTCCTCTTCTTCCGCTCCTAGTTTCCTCTGACATCAACCCTATTACATGGTCTGACCACGCCTCCCTGACCTTAATCTGTTATTCCCCAATGTTATGCTAAAATCAGGCCATTGGCATCTCAATGAGTCCTTTTTAACCACGGAACATCTCCGTGCTGAACTCTCACAGGGACTTGATATGTACTTTCAACACAATGTAGGCTCTGTACCATCTACCCTCGACCATATGGGAAGCCCACAAGGCGGTATTTCGAGGCCTTTTGTATCTCCATGGGTTCTCACCTGAAGAAATCCTCAGAGCATGCCAGGATTACCCTAGTTCGCCAGTTAACCCTAGCTGAATGTAGACTTCTTGCAAAGCAGTCTATTTCTAGGCTGTATAAAAGTGACCTTCCTAC